GTTTCCAACGAAGTTTTCCTACCAGTGTTATCTGTATCATGCAGTGTATCACAGCTCTGGTATTTAGCGGAGAAGTTGGGACAGAGCAGGTCCGGCAGATGATTCTCGATGTTGGCGCGCTCCAGGAACCACACCAGGTTCCAGTACACTATAGGATGTGATTCCACAAACTCCGGCTCCGCTAAACATAAGTCACCTTCTCTACCTATTGGGAAAGAACTTGGTTACTAAAAATCAATAGAAAATTTAAACATTTGCAATAGTTAAACATTTGTACTCACCCAGTATAGACTCAAATTCCTTCCTCAAAACTAAAGGATTCAAATAAGGTACACTAATTGTTTCCGGTTGACTTTGCTCTTCTCGGTAAATCTGAAAACAAAAGTTTTCGTGTAAATAAATTGTCGTACTTTGGATATTCGAATGCTATCAAGCCTTCAGACATTTTTGCCGGAATTAACATAAATCATAATACCAAGTCTTAAACCAAGTAAGAAAGATAGCTTTCTTTTTATATAATACTAGCTTTCGCCCGCACTCCGGTCGCGCGGAAAAAAAAAGCGAGTAGCCTATACGTTCTTCCAGGTTATCCTATACATCTGTACCAAATTTTATCGAAATCCGTTCAGCCGTTAAGGCTACAAACAAACTAACAAACAAACATCCATCCATCCATCTAAACTTTTGCATTTATAATATTAGTTAGATTAGATTATTTGAAGCAATAAGGTTACTCGTATGTGTGCGTAAACGTACGTCCGCTTCCATGTGTGCATATGTACTTGCGTGTTTGTATACATGGATATGTACGTCCCTCAATACGTACGTGTTTACGTGAGTCCACGCATGTGTTCGAAAGTGTACGTGAGTGTTAACCGTCTGTACAGCAGTGTACGTGAATGCGTGCTTGTGTACGTGCATGTACGTGCGTGTACGCAAGTGTACGTACCTGTGCGGTGAGCAGCGGCACAGTGTGCCTGCCGCAGGCGGTGCAGCGCGTGTTGAGGTTGGAGTCGTCGGCCGCCCAGCCCGCCATGATGTCCTCGTCGTAGAGCGCGCCGAGGCACTGGTGGCACTGCGAGCACGACGTCAGCTGCACGCGCACCGCCGCCCTCTCGGGACTAGAGCTCTCCTAACATAGTTTTACAAAATAAGCAATGGAATACAAAGCAACGGAATGCTCATGGCATGCAGATTTTTTCTTTTAAACATTTCTTCTTGTGTGGAACAAAAAATTAAAAGATATAATACAATTTCATATAAACATTGTTACATATGATATGAAAACCTACTGTATGTTGTGGGTACAGATTGTCAGGCAGGTGCGAGAGCAGCGTAGCGAGGGAGCCGCGTTCCATACTGCAAGCCAGCTCGGCGTCGCTCGACGAGCGCCTGAACCCGCCACCGATAGATCCCTCTGCAGCAATTTATGTTTATAAACAATCACATATGTCGTATCTTTAAATAGTAATGAAAAATACAAGCAAAAAACTTACCATCGGGGTTGTATTCAGAAGAGCCATCATTAGAGTCCTCTTCAGTGATGAAGCTGGTGAGAGCGCTGGTCGCGTTGCCGAAGGCGCCTTTGACAGGCGTGGAGTTGGCCGATATCACTTCCTTCATCTCATCGAACTTCTTCGCCATACTGGTCGCAGCTGACTTCAGACTGCTCAGACCGCTCTGAAGTAACTCGTTTGACTTCTTACCTGCTATACTCGTCGGACTGGAATGTAGTATTATTTATTTGCGATTTTTTTATATGTATGAAACAAGATCCCCGGATAGTTATTCCTTATTCTGAATGTATAAATAGGTTTCATAAGAACTTATATTCAACGTCAAGGGCGAGTTTAACATTTACGAATGTATGAAATATATGTTCAAAATGGAAGAGTACATAAGCATAACATTTGGTTACATTTTATTTAGCAGTTATTACATTTGGTGCGAAATAAATGAGTGTAAAAGGTGAGTTAAATACCAAGCAAGCAAGCAATAAGATAAAGTATAAATTGAAACACAGCAAGCTTAGAGAATAAGAAACCCACATCATCGATTTTCGAAGCTCGAGGCAATGTATACCTACATATAATTATTTTGGGGATTAGTCGTGTAGTACTAGTTTGCCGTCACTCGATTTATTACCAAAACAGAGAAAAGAAACCAGTAAGACAAAATATTATTTTTTTTTCATTAATATTAAGATGAATTAACATTAATTTAAAATACTCCAGGCGACTGCGATTTATGTGAAAAAGTGAAATAAAAAGACGTAAGCGGCACTGAACGTGTTAAAGAACCTTCAAAAGTACAAAATGTAAAGATTATTTATTGAAACACCGAATAGTTATTAAGACCACCACCGATTTAACCTTCACCTTGTTGCAAGGAGAAGAAACTGGTCTTACCTGAAATAATTCTCGATCATTGCCTTTCCTAGTTTCATGTTTTCCTTGCGGAACGACAGTCTGCCGGGCGAATAGCGTCTAAAGGAACAAATATTCTAGCAATGCTTTGCCATGTGGTGCAATTTACAAACAAATGGATCTTATCTTGTATTAAATTATATCTACATAAATGCAATTTTCACTAAGCGGCTTTCGTTTCGTTTAGCAGTAGCTGGCGCGCCAGTGGAAATGAGACATATAGCAAAAAGCGTCCGCGTAGAGATAGAGTCTCGCTAGTGGAAATTGGTTCTAAGTTGATGATAGCGTAAAAAGTGCTATGATTAAAAAGGGAGTCACTGAAATGACAATGCCCATATGTAAATCAATAGATCCATTTGTTATTCTATTTATCTATTCAGCTACATTAAAAAGTGATAATGTGTTAAATCTAAACATGCTTTAAAAAAATTATTAATAATTTAAAATGGACATCAGACAATCTTAATTTGATCTTCCTCATACAATTTGGTGAATATTATTTAACAAATGAGTTAGTGAATAGTTTTAATTAATCAAAAGATCATCTGATTCTTTGCTATACAATATTTTTAAAACATGAGAATAATAAAAATATATTTGCAACAAAACATAAATTGTATTATTAACAAAAATATATCACGCCATATCTAGAGCATAGCAAAACACACGAAATTAATTACATAAAACATACTTACTCTAACTTTGTAGTTCTTAGCGAATTTATAAACATAGAATTAAAAACTTAACGATCTGATAAAAACCTGTGTTTAGCACACATTCGCTGAACTAAGCATTCATTAAAAAAAATAAACTGAGTATAGTATGTGTCTGCACCAAAGACATTTAAGAAATACATAGACTAGACATAGTGAAAAACATTTCTTTCGTCGATAATTTCTCTGACAGGCAATATATCAGTTGTAAAGTTTAGTACGCCATTTCGTGTCCTTGTTTTGATCTTATGTTATAAAAAAACGTTGTAACAAAATAAAATGTAAACATTTCAATATTATTAATTATATTGACATGTGGTTATGAGGCTGTCCACGTGCAGGTGTTTGAGGCGTTAGTGCGTATTTGAAAAATGTCTCAAGTGAAGTCAACTGTGCCTACTCTTTGTATTGTTTTAATCTCTTTGGTATACACTAAAGTATGTAAATATGCTGCAATACTCACCCAAAGCTGATCTTCAGCGTGTTCCCGAGACTGACTAGGCCAGATGACATAGTCCCCGGCGCTGTCTCGCTTCTGTGCAGGTTCCTATAAGAAACCATTCAGGTTAAATCTGCAGGGAGAAATATGGAAAAGCTGCACGGTTATTGTCATAGGGGTGACAATATAATCGTTTTTTAGTCGAGTATTATTTTAAACTAATAGGAATAAAATATCTACAGGAGACAAAGAAAAATCAAATAACAATTTGCTCGAAACACTTTGCAATCCTTAACACTACGAGTAGAATGTAGACAGAATGACATCTCACAATCTTCAATGTCCCCAAAGGTTTTTAATTTATGATAAAGCAGCTCTATTTCCACTATTTTTCATAAAAAGGGAGAAAAGAGGAAGTGGATTTGACGGTGGAGGAGACGCATAGACGGGGAAAAATTTACTTTTTACATTTCTTTCCTCGCTCGTTAGTCACCTTATTATACAGAAAATTATACGAAAGAATTGAGAATCTCCTCCTTTTGGAAGGTTAAAAAGATATATAAATGTTCAATTGACAAATATATAAGCATACCCTGGCTGGTCATCCTTGT